AGTTCTCCTTCGATGAAGAAGGACATGACTCCGATGAAGACTCTTCGCTGTCGTACCAGCTCTCTTCTTCGGATTCACAATCCCTACTTACACTATACTCTGCCATTGCTGCTCTTGGATCCTCCTTTGCTTTCATTCCGTTCCTCCAGTTAATGTAATAAATTTCCCCCGTCTGTTGCATATATATACATGTTAACTCATCAATTCCACGTTCACACTCACAAATTCACAACGTACAACCTTCTTTTCACCAAATAACAAATTCAAAACAAACAAATGAACCAAACCAAGGAATCACGGAAATAGAAAACGAAAATAATAACACACCCCTCTTACCCGGATCAGAATTACAAATATCTAGGATCAAAAACATATATTAAAGGAACTGTTTCCCCTGGTCCTTCTCTTCTGCAAGGCTAATGACTAGAGAACATACATACATGTCTGTCTCTCTCTCTCTATATATATACACACACCTTGTATACGTATTCACAAATTAAATTCCCCAATAACAGAAAAGAAGAAATAAATACTGTCCATGACTTGAGGATGGTCTAACTCCGAAAAGTTGCATCTTGCTTCCCTAATAGAGAGAAAAAGAAGGAAATGAAAAAAAAAAATCGTTTTTCTAGGGTTTTGGGTGGTAAACATGTGGAAAACTGTTGTCTTGGAAAGAAGGGCATGGGATACACAACAACAACAACAACGTAGAGAGGCTCCAAACCATGAGCTAGAGGCAAGATCCAGTTTCATGCAGGGAGTATAGGTTTTATGATTTGTTAGAAGAGAACGGAAGAAAAAATAAATAAATGGGGAGGAGGGGAAAAAGAGAAAAAAAGGAAAGGGGGGAATGAACCTTTAAATCTAGGCATTGTTCCCAGTGATAAGGGAGTGAGATGTGAGAGTTGAGCTCTAAGGTGGTGTCGGAGTTAGAGTTATGATTATTATCCGTGTCCGGGACATGGTCCGAGGTGGATGAGATTCCTAAGCCTGGTGGCACTGCTGCATCTGCGGCTGACCCGTTTTCCCTCCTGCTCTGGTGGTTATCGTTGTTTAAAGAACAGTTTTGAAGAGACCTCTCTAAGGAAGCAGTGATCGCCTCCATATTTTTGGATTGGAGCTGTCATTGTTGCCAACAACAATTAATGGAAACCACAACACAAAGCTAGCCACCACCATATATATATATACATACACATATTTATATAAATTAATTATAATTTATCTGATCGGATAAGATGCGCCGTTATTACCTGCGACTGCGAAGCTCGCCAGCCAGCCAGCCAGCAAAATCAAATGAACAGCTGCACCAAAACTAGTTGTACTGAACAACGCACATACCCCCCACAGAGAGATTTTGGAAGCAATACAAATGAGAACTAACTGGCTACGGAGGGAGGCTTGAGATATTGACATTGTTGTTCATTTAAGGGTAGAAATACATACATCTCACACGCTCTCCCTGTGCGCGTGTCCGACGCTCATCTTCACGATGTGGGGTAGCAGCTGTCAGCTCCAGGGAACCACTGTGGGTTGCATTTTGTCTCGCTTCGCTGCTTTCGCTGCAAACTTCACGCGCTTTTCCACCTCCCTTTAACTATCATATATAATACTCCCATACCATTCCATTTTTATTTATTTATTTATTTATTTATTAATTAATCTAACAATTCTACTTCATAATATCTCTATCCATTTCCACAACTCAAACATCATCTTTTGTGTGCAAATTTTGCTTCAGTATAACCCACTACATCATCAAAATCACAAAAATTAACGGTAATAATGTTGAGGGGATTGGGAAACATTGAGATTGTCCAAGAACTGAACATAATACTAATAATAAAATAAAATAAAGTGGAACTAGAATCGTGGTTACCCATAAATGCCAGCACTTTCTTCAAACCGTTTATAATCTTTCTTAATAGTTTCTTTCAACAAAATATATATTAACTTAAATATATTTGAATTCTTTAATATTTTCCTAGTTTTCATTTTAATTTAATTTAATTTATGTATTTGAACATAACAGAATTTCAATCATTTTAAGTATTATAAAAATGAATCATTTTCATAAAACTATTTTGCAAATATCGTTTTTTTATATCTCAAAGTATAATTAAACTCATTTTCTTAATAATATATATGTATATATATTGTAGAAATTAATTGGTGAGAAATAATAATTAAATTTTATATGATTCCCACTTTAGTATGAATTTAAAAAAAAAAAACTAAAATCTTTTTGTATACGATAGTTTGTATTTAAACAAAATTATAAAACTATTAATTATTTGAAATAAATTTATTACTTTTAATATTTTGTTTTCACATTGTTTCTCTGATTTTATATTTTTTTCATTAATTTATTTTAAAATAAAGTGTATGTTCTTCCATGAGCACTTTTGCCTAAAGCGGAACTAAAAAGTTGAGGTTTTAATTAGGAATCCAGGGCTAAACAGCTTTTGTGGGGAGTTGTTCTTATATTTGTTTTAGTGTAGTAGAAAAAAAGTGATAAAAAGAGTAAAATTTGTGATGAAACTGGGTTGGGTTGGAATTGCAATGGTAGAGAGAGAGAGAGAGAGAGAGAGAAGAGAATTTTGGGAGTGTGAGAATAAGAAAGTGCAAGAGTGGGACGCACAGAAACGGACAGGAGCATGGCCGAATGTATCGGGGCTGGTGCTGGTGTGGGTGGTGGCAACTAATAAGTAAACTTGAGAAACACACAAGAGAAGAAGAAAAGTGAGAGAGAAAATACATGAGACAATTAGGATAGGATTAGGATAGGAGGGAAAATTATTCATAAACATATGTACTGTTAAAAGGAAAATAAAGATTGGATTGGAGCCGTTGGATTAGTGAGAAAATGCTAATGCGTGGCGGAGAGGCCCAATGCACATCCGTCTGCACTTATTCTGTTTGTGGAATCTGTTCTGAACTATTGCGGGTCATCTGACAACAATGCCTCTGTAATGCCCCCACTCTCTTCTTTCTCTCAACCCACTTTTTTTACAGTTACACTCTCTTCAAAACTTTTTTCATTAACACTTATTCATAAACATATCGCAATACATTATTTTCGAATTAATCAATTCATATTTAATAAGTGTCATAATTCTAGTACTTTAATTTATTTCAAATTTACATTTTTTTTCTTTTTAATACTCATTTTAATAGTTACTTTTTAAGTTTAGAGGAAATAACATCTACGATGGTTGTATTTTTTAAAATATATTTAGTTTAATATTTTATTTTCATATATTTATTCAGATTTTATTTATAATAAATATAGTTTATTTATGTAATTTTATTATGGTTTGGTGTAATTTTTCATATTTTTTATTTTATTTTTAATAATTTTTCATATAATAATAAATCATTGAAAAACTTTAAAATCTCAACTGAAATGTCAAATTTCATTTGGATACATGTATAAGGAAAAATCAAATTTAACCAATAAATTTGTTTATTAAAGTTATACCATAGTTTTGATATATA